TATATTTAGAAATGAGTTATAATTCTTATCAGGGATACAAACCGAAACGGGTTCAGTTCAGGTTAGGATAAAAATAACGGTTTAGCAGGTTGTAAAAAATAAAAATATAGGTTCGGTTTGAACCTCCAAAAACCGGTTTGAACATTTTTGTATTCAAGCCTACATTCGAATTAGGTATAGAGATGAATAATTAATATTTAATTTATAAAATATAACAAATAAATATCAATGATTAATTTTAATATGAACAATATTTAACTTTATTTACTTAAAAAATTTTAATAAGCCGAAGAATTAATATATTTTCAGAAATTCTTTTCACTCAAATTACATCTTTAAGGAGAGAGTATAATATAATTGTTGAAAAACATCTTTCCACACTAAATTAGGTAGCCAGCACTGCCAGTATGATATAAAATTTGATGTGTCATTTATAATAATACACAGTTTGCAATCAAGTTCTGTATTAAAAATGGAATATCAATACCATGCATAATGTTTAAACATCAATTTAGCATTAAAAATTGAAGTTTAATTAATATATATTTAATATAAAATATTTTATTTATATAATAGAAGTTAAACCAGTGGGTCAATCTGGTAATATATGTGAGATCCAATGTATAGATATCTCAGGATGTATTAATTTTTTAAATATAATTAAATATAAAATTTTATATAGGCATGGAATCTGATAGTAGTAATTCATATAAAGGTATGAGTTGTATTGGAACAAATTACTTTTAATAAAATACATTTTAAAATTTTATTTAGATTGTTTGGTTAATGAAGAAAGAAGGCTTATTGATGAGAGGACTAATGTAGGGACAGTAGAAAAGAAAAAAAATAGGTAAATTAATTTATATTTATATAAGATATATTTATAAAATAATAAAAGCTATACACATGGCTCAATCTAAAAGTGACAACCATACAAGTATTTTTTTTCATTTTAACAATATTTTTCTTCAAATATATATTTGTCATAATTTAAAAGCAATGATATTTTAATTCATATATTAATATTTTTACTTTTTCAGAAGAGCTTGATTTGGGTACTAAAACAACTGGACCTATGCAACCAATATTAGGTGCATATCCTTAAAGATAGAAGATGTTTTTAACCTCAGTGGTACAAATCCTTTCCTTGGATAGAATATAGCATTACCAGAAACGCTATTTTTTGTTTTCCTTGTGGTAATTTTCCAACACAACCTCAAAAGATTTTCTCTTTGATATAGGTTATCAAAAATTTTGTAAGGTTAAAGAAATCTTAACAGCTCACGGAGCAACAAATGGTCATGCAACGAATGTGATTCTCTGGAACCATTTTAAACAATCTTTAATAAAAGGGACCATTAAAGAAAAATTTGTAGCTCTAACTAAATCAGCAATAATGGAAAGAAGAGAATATTTGAAACGATTATTCAAAATTATAATACTATGTGGTAAGTTAGAACTTCCTCTTAGAGGACATCATGAAAGTAAGACAAGCAATAATCAAGGGAATTATTGTGAAATATTAAACTGTTTGAAAGAGTATGATTCATTTTTAATGGCATATAAGCCACCAGACAATGCTCATTATTGATCACCTCCATCATAAAATCAAATGCTATCTGCAGCGGGAAACATAATCTTAAAGTACATAGCTTCAAAAATAAGGGAGGCAGGTTATTTTGCTGTCATGGCTGATGACACTCGTGATGTTAGCTCATATGAACAATTTAGTATATGTGTTAGATATGTTGATAAAACAAAAACACCAAAGGAATCTTTTATATCTTTTGAAAAAGTTGTAGACTTAGATGCGGAATCATTAACAAAGACATTGATATTAACCTTAAATAACAATTCTATAAATGCGATTTGCGTTGCTCAAGCTTATGATGGCGTCAGTGTTATGAAAGGGCATCTTTCAGGAGTCCAGAAAAGATATCGCAAAAATCACAAAATGGCTATATATGTGCACTGCTATGCACACAAACTCAATCTTGTATTGATCTCAGCATGCAAATATTTACCTCAGTCTAGAAAGTTTTTTAATGTATTAGAATCTATTCATGCTTTTTTCTCAATATCTATTATCCATCATAACAAATTTCTTGATTTACAATTAAGCTTGGGGCTAAAATCCAAAAATATTGATGCCTTGAGTTCTACACGTTGGGGATCCCATATTAGAACAATAGAGGCAGTAAAAAACATTTTCCCTGCAATTATTTATTATCTAGAAAATATAGAGCATGGTGATATGATGAAAGCAAATGGAATTTTATATATTCTTTTACAATATGATACAATTATGTGAATGTTTATATTCCAAAAATTATTATCTATGTGTTCCAATATTTCTATTTTTTTACAAAAATCAAATTCTGATATATCAACAGCATTGGCTCTAATCGAGTCTCTTATCATTTCTTTGTCAAATTTAAGAAATAATTCTTATTTTTCTTCATTATTTACCTAAGTAAATAAATTCTGCAATTTACATAATATAAAAATAACAAATAAAAGAATAAATATATCTTCTATCATTTTAAATGATTCTATTCAAATAGATGATATTGTTTCTCCTAATTATTCTGATCAAACAGAAACTTTTTATAAGTGTCATGTCTTTTATCCAATTTTGGATATTATGATAAATGAATTAAAAATAGATTTTGTCAAGAAAACACAGATATATTAATAGCTATAAGTGCTTTACATCCCTCCTCCCCCCAATTTTTAAATAATGATATCATTAAACCATTTATCTTACATTATAATCTTCCTGATCCAATGGGAATATGCAATATTAAAGATTTATATTTTAACCTATAATAAAACACATGAACCTATGTGCAAATCGATAATAGATTTGATAAAAATCGTACCCATCGATATATTCCCTCGTATATAATTGCCTTAAAATTGCGCTAACTATACCATTTAATTCCTGTTCATGTGAAAGATCGTTTTCAGCTTTAAAACGGGTGAAAACATATATTCGATCCACAATGGGTCAGAAACGATTAAATTCGTTGGCTCTATTGAGCATTGAAAAAAATGTTATTAATAACATTCCTATAGATCACATTATAAATGAATATGCAACAATGACTAACCGCCTTAGAGAACTCATTTTATCAGATAATCTAATCTTATAATTTATATTATAAAACGTAGATCTTTATATCCACTTTTTATAAGCCTGTAGCTATTAGATATTTATAAAAATAACTTTGGGTTTTCCCTTTTTCTAAAAATGCCTTATTTTTAAAAATTTTGAATTATAGTCGTTATTTTAAAGATTTATTAATCTTTTACTAATTTTTCTTTCAAATTCTTCACGATAGTGATACATTGTATACATTTTATAGAGAGAGGGAGGTTATGAGTGTGTAGGGAGGGAATTTTTATTAGTTTTAAATGATATTTACGGATATATTTGATAGGGGGTGGAGGATATCTCAACCCTTGGTTACGCGCCTGCTACAAAATTTCCAATATTTTCCTTTTTAAAATTGATATAAAACAGAAGAAGCAACCTATTATATTATTAAATTTTCAATTATAATAAAATATTTATCACAATATTTCACTTTCTAAGATATAAATTAAAACAAGATATTACCTATAAAATGTAAGTGCAGAAAATTTTGAAAAATGGAAAGAGATAAAAAAAAATAATTTCTCGAAAAATTATTTTTTTTAAGGGTATAAAAAAAATCCTTTTTAATATTATTTTAAAATTATTTTAATCTTTTTTGACACCTAGAACCTTCCACTTTCAAAAAAGCTCCGGATTTGGGTCCAGAAAAAATAAGAGAGTTCAGGATCTGGGTTCACATCCATGGTTTTATTTTATTTATCTTATAAAAGTTTAAAAAAAACATAATAATTTGTAAAATTAATCCATATTAAAAATTATTGAATGTCGAATTTTGTGTTATTTTAATTAAAATAAACAATAATATCGCTAAAATTTTTAAATACAGCCAAAGGGCTAGTAAAAGACATGAAGGCCGGTCATCGGAGGTCAAACCTTCATAGGCTTTTAGAAATATGGACCGCCCTAAGGAAAATTCGTAGCTATACCACTGGTTTGGATAATTAATTCAGGAAGGGAAGAGCTAATTCAATTTTTTATAATATTCTTGTTTAAAATTTAATAAAAAATTAATTCAAAAATGTACTTACAAGGTTACAAATAGTGTCGTTTTGAAACCTTGATGTTGCAGATTTTTTTTAAAAAAAAGGCTAAATAAAGATTTCAGTCTAAAAATAATACCTGAGCTTTCGCTAAAAGCTTTCATGGTAAAACCTTGAGACTTTAATAATATTTTGGTTAGCAATGATAATATTTCTTCATTTTTTTTGTATTTTTTTAAACTCTACTTAAATCAAGTGTTTACTTTAGCATCTATTAAGTTCATATTACTTTAAAAATTTTCTAGCAGATATAAGCGAAATTCCCAATTTTTAGCGATTTAGAACGGGAACCATTAATTATAAATATATATACAAAATTATTACTTTTTTGGTATCGATATCTACTAAAAAAAAATGGGTGGTATTGGTGTATCTCTAAAAATGGGGAAGTTAATTTTATTTTAATCAAAGATGTGGGCCCTAACAAAACTTACTTAGAAGTGAGCTAATTTTTAATGAGAACAAAGCATTTCTAGGAATTTAGAGTATTCCTCCTAATATATTTTATTGCATAATTTAATATATAATTTTTGAATATGAATATAATTTTCGTGTAGATGATTTTTTCAGCTTTCCTAACGCATTTAAAACTATGCCAGAACGGAACTGAACTTTAAAAATGATACTAAAAAATTTTTTTAACAAAAAAGTGTAAAAAAACTCAACATAATTTTATTTCATAGTTTTTATTTTAAATTACATATTTTAAAAAAAATCATATATCACAATTCATAATTATAATGCAAAGACAAGGATTTATATAAATTATACTTTTTTGTGGAATGAGTGGTTGTTTCACACTTTTATATTATAATAAATCAATTAAATGATTTTAAAGAATTTGCGATTTCATGCTAAAAAAAATTATATAAATTACAAGTAAAATAATATAAAAATTGCCCCGCTTATATTTTTTTAAAAAAATATGAAATGAAAAACATCTTTTGATTCAAGAATCAAAAAATCGTTTTAAAAAAATTAAATTTAATAAATCAAATTTATTATGTCTTAATAATTGAAAAATTGTTTAAATTGATGAGGAATTTTATAAGACATGGAATATACAATTATATTAGAAACCTATCTCAAAAGCAGAATTGGCTCCTGATATTTTGTTTTAATAAAGCTGGCAAAAAAAAGGATGTTAAAAAATTTATAACATATTCCTTCTCATTCCTACTAATATAACTTGTTATTGTATGTTTATAGAAACTAAATGGCGAATTTAATATGGTGGATGTGACAGATTAAACATAACATAATTAATCACCCAGAAGCGAATTGGATCAACCTAAAAATTAAGACAATTGTTTTATCATGATATCGTTGGACTTATATCATACAACTTTAATCCGACTAGATGCGTCTACTATATCGTCTTTTTGTGCAATTTTCGTGGGTCCAATATTTTGGCGAGGAATGATGGATAAATTCGTAGAATAATTTTCGGAAATTATTGACTCGGCATTTAGATCGTTTATATTCTGACCAATTTTGGAATTCATTTCATTGAGCAATAGCTAAAAAAAAATTTTGGCCCAAATTGAAAATTTTTATTTTTAAAAAATCATTAACATTTTGTTTGATTAGTATTGTACAATCCTGTCACAAATCATTAATGCGATTAGGATCTGGTCGATCTGCCGAACATTAATGGCATTTGGTAAGAATAAATATTAAAAAAATAATATGCATTCATGAGATTCATAACTTTATGCGAATCAATTTTAGCATAATCATAATTTTTCCCGTAACTATTTAGATTTTTTTTAACTGCCTATTATTTCTTTTTCTATTTTTAATCTGATATTAAAAATGATTTAAAGATATTTTGATTTAAGAATTCATAGGATTTCATCTAATGCTTAATGAATCAAATGTTATAATTAATATCAATTTTTTAAAAAAAACTTGTAAATCATATTCGATAGGCGTAGGCGAAATTATCAGGTCATCTTTTGGAATATCTTTATCATGGGGATTCAGAAATTTTGTGATACGATGCATAAGTTCAAAAATGTCGAAATTCGGAATTGGTATTTCTTTATTAGATCGATTGGGAGTTAGTAATCTATCAAATAAAACATTAAATTATTATATATGAATAGAATACATTATAAACCTTTTACTTTTGAAATCTCTTGTAAAAATTATATGAGGTAGTTTATGGAAAACTACATATTTGAGGTTTAATTTTTTTAAATAAATTATTATTTATCAAATACTTATTATTTTAAAGAAGAGTTTAATAATCGCATTTAATTTTAAAGACAGGGAGACATCGATAAGAATAGGTATATTGGGTTGATACTTTTAATTTTAATCGACATCCAAAAATAATAACCTTCATAAATTTAATTTTTTTTAGCCTATGAATTTATTTAAAATCATATACAAATGAGATTTCTAAACCTATTAGAAAAGAAAAGTGAATGTTAATTTTTTTTCTTTTATTTATATTATTAAATTTATAATTTACATATATCAATTTCTTAAACTAATATAAATGATAAATATATTTTCAATAAATTTAAATATACATAATATCTTTTTATTTTTTGTTTAAAAAAAATTATTTATTTATATGCATTTATAGAAGAAGAAAAACACTTAAAAATCGTTTACTTATAAATTTTGACTAATTCACTTTTCAAAGCGTTTCTTTCGGCGATATCTTTTGTCAAAATATGAGCGATTTTAAGATAAATCGAAGAGGAATATGATATGACACGGTTTAAATTATTATTCATCAACCTTTTATATATATATATATGAATTTATCATCTTCAAAATTAATAAATGTATTAAAAAAAATAAAAATTTATGTACATTATTTATTAAACATTTGCTAATTTTATATAACTAAGAACCATGCTAAAGATGAGTACAGTTTTTAAAATCATCTTAAGGTGGCAATTATAACTATTTATAAAGATGAGTTGCGAAATTAATATAGATATGGACACAAAAGAATCAAAAATGCATTAAAAAAATTACTAAATAAGTGGGAGAAATTCGAGAATCCTGAAGTAAGGGATTTCGATAGTAAAGAATTACCGTTGTCATGACATGGGCTACGGTCTTTTGATCAATCAAGCAAGTTAAAAATATTTACACTATTCAATCACATTTTAGGATATCTTTAAGTGTCCGGATATCATAGGTTTGGATCAATTAAGCAACATTTCAATGATGCCATAAGATTGCTAACTTACCTGTAGAATAGGTGCCTATATGGATTCGCCTGTTGGATATCTTTTTGGGACTTTTCCAGATATGATATAAAGGCCAATAAAAGCTAAAGGTAAGAAAGAAAATGATAATAAAAGGTTGGGAGGAAGATGTGGCGTCAAATAGAACTAAATACATTTTTAGTAAACCTTAATATTACTTTATCCCTTGAGAATGAGGAATGAGTGTGACAATGCCACAACCATCTTTGATGGCAAAACCTAGTTGGTCAGGACTAAAAAAAGCCGAGGGCCTTCGCTTTTATGTTCCTTTTAATTAAGTAATGAATTGATTTTTTCCCATTTTTTAAAACCGATAAGAAAGAAGTTATGGTCTAATTATTTTTACTTTAATAAATTTCATATATTAAAATAAGTAATATAATATAATATTGATAAATTTTAAGTAGTTTCTCTTTTTTCAATAAACGTTACATATAATTGTAAATTTTTGTATTGACCACATCGGTCACAAAAGTGGCATCATCGCATCTCAGCTAAATAACATGGTAATTAAGAGTCTATAATTGGAGTAATTATGAAAGATTGAAGCTGTTCAAACCTTCAGTCCTGCCAGAACAAATCTAGGAACCGAAGCCAGAATCTAGGACCCTCTGAGCTAAAAAGAACCAGACATGAAAAACAATTAAAATTTTTTTTAGGGCCAGAACAAAATCCAGAACATCTTTTTTTTATATTCCGTACATTAGAACCATTTTTAGTAGAGATTCCAACTTTGTATATTTAAAGGAGAAATAAACCTGAAAATATGGGGAAAGGTAGAATTGTGTCGAAAGTTGGTAGAATTGAGATTCTTGTAGCAATAACTAATATGTGTGATAGGTCAGAAAGACTAGGTTTAAACACAACTAAAAATTAAATTGTTACTGAAGCTTTACTTTGTGTAAGTATGGTTTCAAATTTTTAAAGTAATAATGTTTTTGTATTTCTGTTTTAGCAAATTCTTTAAACCATTATTTAATTCTGTGTAAAAAATCTATTTTTTGACTATATAAAAACTTAGCAGCTAAATATTTTGTTTGATAGGATTGACAAAGAGCACCAAAATTTTCCGTTAAATCATCGAGGGATGAAGTTGCCAGCCTTTGTTTGAAGTTAAAATCCAGTTCTTGGGACTGTAATTTGCACTTATCTTGAACCAGAGTTTCCAATTTGTTCATCAACGAACTACCCACGGATGCTAAGAGTAGGTTTTTTAGTTCAGCATTTACCTTAAATTTTGAATATTTTGTTATTAAATTTATATATTCTATATTTTTGATTTAGGATATCCAAATATCAAAAAAGATTCATAAAATTTTAAAACTTTATCGAAAAAGAAGATATATTTTTTTGTCCAAAATGTAATTCTATAAATTCTGAAATAAAATTTGTCATTTAGAAAATTTTTTTAGATATAGCCTTTAAGAAGATAAAAAAATATATTATAAAAAAAATGAATAAGGTGAAGGTGAAAAAAATGATAAAGAAAAGAAAAATGCAGTAAAATAAAACTTTCAATTGCTCTTCTAAATCACATTTTAGTAATTTAACATGTGTCTTGTCCAAAAAATCAATCGCCGGCTCTTCACCTATAAAATTTAAATTATATAGCCAAAATAAATTAAGTGCCATATCAACTCCAAATTAAAGGAGGGTGAAGGGAGAGGGGGGTTTATTAAAAATTATTCTCACCCAAACTAAGATATAATATATATAAGAATGAATATAAAGTAGAGATGCAATGCATCCAGATTTCATTTTGGAACAACCCCAAAAACTATTTAGTAATTTGCCCCCTCCAATGATGTATAACACTGTATTAGCTAATAATAGTAGTTATTGGGATCTATATCATGTTTTCTTTTTTGCTTATTCACTATTCTTTTAACTGATTAGACTTAAATAAAATAAAATTGTGACAACTAAATATATTCTTTGCTCCGAATTATATAATTATTGTTCAATCAAATTAACAAACTTACAAGCTTGTTAATTGATCTTTTTAAAAAGATCGAATCACGATCTTTTTTAAAAAATAGGATCGAAATCCAGGATCGACCTTTTTTAAAAAAAAGGATCGCGATCACAATCACGATCCTTTTCTTATTTAAATTTCTTATTGATGCAAAATTAACTAATATAAAAATTAAATAAATATGGTATAAATTTATTATAATTGAATAATATAATATATAATAACAATTAGAATATATTTATTTATAAATAAAATTAACCTTTAATAATAAAATTTTTTCAAAATTATCATCATTTAAACATCCACGTTTTTCATTAAGTACATGTTAAGCTTTACTAAAAAAACAAGCGCTCCACAGGAGCGCTTGATGGCAAGGGTGTGCTATATTCAATAAAAAAAAATTTTAAATTAACATAATTATTAAAAATATTCACTGAATCATGATTAGAATAAAAAATTTATAATTGAAAGAGCATTTTTTGATAAATTTTTCCCCAAAAAGGTATCGATTTCATCCATGCATTCATTTGAAGGATCTGCATGTGGTTGACCCTGTATATATCTTCTAAATGGGCAATTAACCTTTCTTTTAGCAACAAATTTTGTGGCAGATTAATAAAAGGCCAATTGAGCTTAAACTTTGGGTGAATTATTGATGCCAATATATTACTGTCATCATATAGTGAAGGAAATCTATATTAATAAATGATAATTAATTTATTATTAAATAAGTGTTCATTCATATAAATCAGGTATCTGCAAAAGTTAGCCCTTTAGATTTTACAGTCAGGCCTGACCAATTGTATAATATTGATTAAATTTAATAATTTTTAATGCCTATTAGGCTCATTAAAATTTTACCAGATATCAGAGGCTTAGTAGACCAGACTTGTTAAAAATATTTTACTAATTTTTTTAATAAATTTTGCAGATATCTGATATCTAACAATATAAGAACTTATGAATAAAGGGTTCAACATAAATTTTGTTAAACATATTAAGGTATATTATTATTTATAACTGGTTAAAAAGGTCATATATAAATTCCCTTAAAATACCAAATTTATAATATTTTCTTCTAATATATGATTATTATAATTAAGATTAACTCATAGATAAATATATTAATTATTTTCATAAATAATAAAAATTATATTTTTAAAATAAACTTTTAGATGTCTCTTTAAATTTGAGCTACTAATCTTTGAGGAGGAAATCTTATTTTTGCATAAAGAACATTTTGCATAGATCATTGTCTGGTTACTTCCATCCATTTCACATAGAGTAAATTACTTACGTAAATTATGAAATGGTAAAAGATTCTCATTCTCACCTATATCTACTGTCATATCAATAGTAGTACTATTAGATGAATCATCTTCTAAATTTATAATGGAGGACATTATTAAAACCTAGATTTATTTATATTATAATATAATTAAATTAAATTAAATAAATAAAACTTGTATTTGTAGGCTTTAAATCACTTCCAAAAATTAAAGAAATGAAATTTTTGAAATATGGTGGAATAGTGGTTGATAAAATATGATGTAGATAGATATTTTTTTTTAAATAATATTTTAATTTAATTTTCAAAATTTTTATTTTATTTGTTGGTTTTTAAGTAAAAAATTAATTTTTAAAAGGATTGGGATCGAATATTTAAGAAAAAGATCTCGATCACGATCTTCAATTTGAGGTCAGGATTCCGAATCCAAGAAAATTGACAAATTTAGGATCGAATCCAGGATTGGCGATCTTTTGATTCGATCCTTTAACAACTCTGCAAACTTAATATTTGATTGTTCATTTTGTGTTCTTTTGAATTATTTTAACAGAGTAATCAGCATTATAAATTTATGGAATCAAAGAAATAAAGTTGTATAAAAAAATTGTCAATAAACATTACTAAAGGTATTACCATTAGAAGCAATACCCTTACATAAAATAATTCCTGTTTTAATTATTGTTGATAATTTTGTTAAGAAGAATTATACATACAATAAAATATATTATAACTAATTTCATTAATATTGAAAGGAAATTTATGAATAAAATTAAAAATCAAAAATATTTTAGGGGAAATGCATTTTATTCAATTAAACATCTATTTTTCTATAAGATTTATAAATGAATCATTATTAATACTAAATTGGATTGATTAAAAAAATACCTTATCATATATAATTAATTATCAATATTTGCCTAATTCATACTAATTTTAATATATTTAATAATTAAAAAATAATTTCAATGTTAACAATTTTTGATTATTTTAATTTATCTAATAATTCATTTTTATATAAATCTAGTAAAAGTAAAATTTTGTAAACCAGAATAAAATTAATAATTTTTTATATAAAAATGCATAAATTAATTTTTCTTATCAAAATATTGAACATCAATATTCATTTAAATAAGGTAAAGTTCAAATAATTAAAAATTCTTCATAAAATTAAACAATATTAATTTTTAAAAATTCAATAGTTTTATCTGTTGACTTATACCTTCCCTTAAATTTCCATATATATATTTGTCTAGCAATATATTTTTAAGCATTATATATTTTTTATTTAAAAACTACAATTTATAAAATAATATACTATTAAACTGTATTAAAATAAATATCAAAAAGAGAATATTATTTTTTAATTGTGCCTATAAATTTCTTTATCTTAGTTTAATTTTTTATAAATAAATAAGTTAATTTTAAAAAAGAGTTTACTAATTAAAAAAAATTGATTTCAGGATAAATATTTTTTATAGCTTTATAGTATTAATATTATTAAAATTATAAAAAAAGATTTAAATCACATCAACCCATTTAATATTTTTTTTGCTGAAGAAAAATTTAAAATAACAAATTTGATTCCCCTGTTTCTATTAAATCAACCTTTTTAAAATTTAGTCTTACTTGCTTCAGCCATCATTTGCTCTAAAGTATCATTATCATCTATATTTGCATCATTCCCAGATTTAATTTCTAGCATCTTATAAATATCATTATTGTCCAAACTATAATATTTTTTATCATTTATACTACTGATAGGGTTAACTATTTCAAAGGAATTAATTGAATCAGCATTTGATGATGTAGAAGAAATATCTATTTTATTATTTTTTTGAATTATACTATCATTTTTATTAATTTTTAATGATGATAAAGACTGTGCTGAAGAATGAGCTGATAAATCTTCAACTGGATTGGATATATTTGTGTTATCTTTCTTACGTTTACATGTATCTTTTAAAGTTCTTTTGGAGTTAGGATAACGAGTTTTAATTGTTTCGAAAACTTCATAAAGTACTAAATTTGTAGGTCTCTTCAAAAGAAGGGAATGTGGTAGATTTTCAGTCATTGGTTTATTAATCATTCATGTATATTTTAAAATTTTAATGATATATTTGAATGGGTTCCACCTCTAAATAGCAAGAATCCAAAATAGCAAGGAATTAAATGAATGAAAATCTATATAAATTATTAAAATGTAAATCATTTTATTATATTATTTTAATTATATAATTATATTATTACATATATAAGTTTTATATATTAATAGTGTTGTATAATATAATATATTAGGCGTAATTTTTATCTAATAATATTATATAAATTGTTTTAAATTATAAATAAACACATATATCTTTTATAAATTTTAACTATAATTTATCCATATTAATATTATGTTTATTATATGATATTATAAACATGTATATTGCAATTGTATTTAAATCATTTCTATATTATATGAGGGGGGGGGGGGGAGGTATTATATAAATACAAATTTATATTTAATAAAGGAGAATACTAATAAGAAGCAATAGCGACATGCGGGGGAGAAGGTACATGCCATCATATCGCCTTTAAGAATAGTGAATAAAAAATCATTTAGGGGTAAGAGGTAAGAGTTTTTTTTCTCTATGTAGACGTTGATAAGGAGCAAATCCTAAATTATTAGAAAAATGAAAACTAATTATACTACAATTTTTTCCAATAAAAAATTATAATTAAATATTAAAATAAACCTAATAAGTTACGTATTAAATTTTTTCAGAGATTGTTCTACAATCTCCTCTCAAGCTTCCCCTCTTTTTTAGCTATGGCTACTCTAAATAAATGGCAGCGCTATTAATTAGCTACCATTTTTATAAAAGTATAGTAACTAACTATCGCTATTTAAAAAATGTAGCGCGCTACTTTTAACATAGCTTATGGTGAATAGCTATAGGGAAACAATGAAAATCACTTATCTCTCATTTGATTTATTAAAACGGTAAAGCAGAATAATGATATTCGGCAGACAGAGCATGGCATGATGATTGTACTTCAGGAACATGTTCTTCCTTGCAAAATGGCAAAGTTATGCAAATATAAGCTAACTAAACCCAATAGCGATTATCAAAATAGCGAGATATTAAATGATGAAAATGTAAAGAAGTCTAAATTATTAATATATAAATAATTTTATAAATTATAATATGTAATTATAAATTATTAATATAAAAATCTGTTGCATTATTCTAATTTTATTACAATATAAATTTTATTTTTGTTATAATCTAATTTTATTTTATAAACGGCGTAACCTTACTTTTTTAATATTATTTTACTTTTTTGTATTTCGTTTTATATTCTAATTTATATTTTATAAAAATGTATATATACCTTAAGAAAAGAAAAAGAAATTAGTTAATAAAATATATTTTTACTGACTCGAACCTCGCGCCATATCGTCACCATCCTAATTCTTTTCATGGTGCCCGTCTGGGTGGTGGACTAGAAAAAGACGACTACCTAATCTTCTGAGATGACTATCTAACCTATGGAGACTGCTTAACCTATGGAGATGACTACCTATTATGACTCTACCTTCTGCTTAACCTATGGAGATGACTACCTATTATGACTACCTTATCTATTGTGACTACCTAATCTACTGAGATGACTATCTAACCTATGGAGACTGCTTAACCTATGGAGATGACTACCTATTATTACCTTATTTATTGTGACTGCCTAATCTATTGATATGACCAATGTCTAATCTATGGAGATGACCAAGAATCAAACCTTAGCACGTTCTTTCATGCAAAAAGCTTCTTTCTTCATGGTGTCCCGGCTCTGGATGTTGGACTGGAATATGATAACCAGCACCTAACCTAATGTGACAACCTAGGAAGAACTGATATGGAAGTTGAACGATAGGTTATGAATTCTATTTTGTGAGACCAATGATGATTACTTATTATTCTAATCCACGTAAGAAGAAAAGTTATTAAAAATTAAAATTTTATGCCAGGATAAAGGCATGTTATAAATTTTTAAAATCACTAAAATGTAAAATCATAATGGATATATTTGAACACACAAAAAGCCTTTAAAAAATTATTTACTTAAATTCTTAGTGAAATATTGATATTTTTTGATTTCTTGAATGATGACTAATTGTTGTTAATTAACTAAACCTAAAGATGAATTCTTAGATATAATTAAAAATAAACCATTAAAAATCCTAAACAAGAAGATTATTAAAATGTAATTAAAACATATGAATTAAAAGGGATTTAATATGATAAAAATGTTCTTGAAATAAAGCTCATTTTTTTTAGATAAAATTGAATGATGTGATGAGATCATTTTCTTAATCTTATAAAGAATTTTTTTTTGAATTAAAATTAGGGTGTGAAATTTAAAATTTTATTTAAAGAGAGGGAAATGTGAATAATATTTTATTTGCATATTTTAACCTCGGAGATAGAAAATAAATAAAAATTAATTAAACACTAAAACGCGAAAAATTAAACGCTTATAAAATATGAAATGCTAAAAAATGTAAAACGCAAAAAATATAAAACGCAAAAAAATATAAAACGCTAAAAATATAAAACGCATAAAACGCTAAAAGTATAAAACGCTATGATTAACTTAAAAATAATATAATAATCATTATGATTTATCGTTCCTTATTCTGGATTAAAATTTTATTCCTTATTCCATAAATTATCATTCCTTATTACATATTTTATTGTTCCAAAATTCAAAATTTTATTCGTGCATATTATTCATATATTTGATTTGATCAACTATTCCAAATTATATATTCCGATTTATTCCAAATTCCAATATTCGACTGGATTAATTATGAAATTGAGAAATGTGAACAACGTACGATAAGGATATCAAGCTAACGATAACGTTCAACGATTTCATCAAACCTACGAGAACATTTGAGACTTATGCGCTAACCAAGAAGAAACCGAATACAATCGAAACGGGAAAAACTTCTAAACAACAAACTCTCTATACTTCTCCGATGAAATTATCAGAAGAAGGAGAATGTTGCATTATTCTAATTTTATTACAATATAAATTTTATTTTTGTTATAATCTAATTTTATTTTATAAACGGCGTAACCTTACTTTTTTAATATTATTTTACTTTTTTGTATTTCGTTTTATATTCTAATTTATATTTTATAAAAATGTATATATACCTTAAGAAAAGAAAAAGAAATTAGTTAATAAAATATATTTTTACTGACTCGAACCTCGCGCAACATCGTTAAGAATCCTAATTCTTTTCAAAATCATTATAATATTATGAGACTATTGTTATATAATTATAAATATATACATTAATTTGTTATTATTATTAAATTAACCATTATATAAAAAACAAATTTAATGTTTCTAAATATTGTCCATCTCTAAAAATTCCCATATAATTTTTATACAATTTTTAAACGATTAATTATATAAAAAGCTGTAGTAAATATTATAAAACTTTAATTATATAATCTAAAATAAATATTACAATTTTGTAAATTATGGCTATACTATTTAACTATTATTATATATAAATATTTTAATTCTTTATTAAGTAATTTATTGTTGTTAAAAGCCCGCTTTCGATTTTTTAAAATGGCCCGATAAGATTTCATTCAAAATAATTTTATGTAACCTAACAAATCTTCTTGCCATCTATACGCAAAATCTTCAGACAGTGACGAAGCATCAAATACTACCAGGGAAGCAATAGAAAATCATTTTTTCTTTTTATAAGTCTAACCATACAAAAAATTAAAATTTATAAATAAGCAGAATTCGTCCTTGTTTTTGAGTAAAATTTCGTTTCATATTTTGCGCCTGAAATCTATCATATTTTTAATTCAATTTTTGGCAAATGATTTTAATTGAATTATCGACTTCAAATAAGCGGTAGATTCTTCATGCTGTAAAACTGCCTTTAAAAAATTATTCATATCCAAACATATTTTTCCTTCAAGAATAATAAGCGACCAACAATATAGGGATATAGAAAATCCACATCCAGTGAGCCATTCATATTTTTCATATTAATCCTTTTGGTTTTTATCTTCCTATTAATAATCCATTGCTTCACATCAAAAATTTTTAAATTAAATCATTTTTAATAAATTTTCTATAATACAATTTGCAATTATTAGACACAGATAAAAATATAATATAAAAATATTCTCAACCTCTTTTATTTATTTAAAAAATAGGCATTTTTTTATTTACTTCCCCAACACATATTATTTATTTTCTCCTTATTTATTTTAAAAAATAGATAATATTAAATTTGCTTCACTCATGTAATTTTTTAAGGTAGTAAAAATAATAGTAATTTTTTAAAAATAGTATAAATATATATTATTTTTATTTCAGAATTAGAGTGTATGCTTCTTGGGGATAGGCAGTAAAAAATCTTTTTCGGGTGGAGTAAGGTTTTTTCTATCATGTAGAGGTAGACGCTGATATAATTTATTAGAAAAATGAAGACTAAATAAACACTCACAAAAAAATATTTTTTTAAATCAACCCAAATCGGAAAAGAATCATATGACACCACTTGAACATGTGTGTTAAACAATCTTGTGAGTCACTAGAATTTTATAAAGATTCTATAATTTTTACAATATTTTGGCAGAATAAAAAACTCTTTTGAATGCTTTGGTCTTTCTTTTTATAAAAAATTATTTTCACCCAAAGGATTCGTATTTTATCAAAATTTTGACAAGCAGTTAAAAATATATTTACATAATGTTACGACCATACATTTTAAAGTAAGGTTTAATGAATAAATCATCAGTTTATGTATTATTATATGTCATTGCCCTCTATAAGCAACAATTTTAGGTCAAAGCATCTACTAAATAAGTATTTTTATTACTGAAATATGTATACAATATGCGCGAAAAAAAAATATTTATAAATTTTTATATTAAAGTTATATTATTATACAAAATAATTATAAAAATGTAAATAAAGTATACCATATATAGCAAGAGAATAATAAAAATGTAAATATATAAAAGAAATATAAATAAATACGGGTTATGATTGTTGTTTTATAAAATATGAAACATTATCTAAAAAAGGATATATTTCATTTGTACGCTCGTATATACGAGTTAGATTATCAATGTTAATATTTAATTGATCATATTTTTTATTTTTTCTTCTCACGTTCAACCCACTATTGATTTGTAAGATCTTAAGCTCACTCGAATGTTGATGTCTTTTTAAAATATTTATCAGACAATAAATATTCGGGTGAGCCACGTTTGTTTTTCTCTTAAGGGCATGATAATACCCCTCCAGGTGGTTGTTTGTTCTAGGGCCGTCAACTTGATACCTAAATTGATTATAAGTAAAGTTAATATTTAAATGTTTTAATTACCTGGTCCATATATTTCGGGGGAATATGGCATTAACTCCGAGCCATGTAAAATCCATATACTCCATAAAATTTTTGAGCAAAGGATATTCAGCAGACAGAGCATGGCATGATGCCCGTACCTCGGAAATATGTTCTTCTTTGCAAAATGGCAAGGTGGTCATTCGTCTAACAACTTGATGAATGGTAGTATTGTGCAAATAACCGCTAACTAAACCCAGCGCCTGACATTTACGCCAAAGAGCCTGGGAATAGTGAAAAAAACAGCCTAAATTTTTTTAATTATAATATACAATGTTATAAATAAACATTTTATGGACATATTAGGAAAAACAAACCTAAGCGCCGATATAGCTGCGGCCTCGTATTCAGTTTGTCCAAATCGAGGATTGAATCATATATTTTTCATCGAGCAAAATTGCAAGATAATTTGAAATAATTCAATATATGTCCCTCTATTTTTATCGGGGAGGAGGGCATATATAATCAGTATCATAACTTCTTGATACATTATATGGATACTATACAATTGACAGTACAGTCGAGGAACGATATAAAAGGTGCCGTCCATGTAAATGCTATCACCATCACATATTTCTACAAGTTTTAGCATTTCACATGTACCAAACACCAGCATATTATTATTATTATCATTATTAATTAAAAAAATCTCCCCCTTATTTGTGGTGATGTATTCTGGTAATAATACTAGTTCATCCAAAGACTGAGGCAAAGTGGGCCGATTTTTTTGTAACAATCTGTCAATTGTACTCTTAATTGAAACAAATGAGGGCATTGCCTCTGGATACATTTCGATGGAGGGCGTTTCCAGGCATCTTTTATTCAAGGCCTTTTCATAAATATTGTGCCTTGTCTCTAGAGGATTTTCGGCAACAATATCCTCTAGAACCTTGTGAGTTCTCAGTTTTTCAAACTGACCGATTTCATTTTGGTGTTCATGCAAACCAGAGGTTGTGTAAATTCCATCAAATTTACATGAAGCCTTGCAGCCAACCTTTCTGCAACGATAGTGTATTCTATCATCTTTTTGATAAGCATATCGATATATATAATTTTGGAAAAAGAGAAGCAGTTTTCCTTTTTGAGATTTTATAAATTGTGGATCTTAATAAATATAAAAATCATATATTAATATGATTAATATGGAGCTCTAATATTTAATCAGACAGAACCAGATACTTAAAAAAATAAATAAAGCAAATAAATAATTATTGATTTATTATTTATCTTTAAAAAAGATGTAATATTTTTTTAATTATTCCAAGGTCATGCCTAAATATAATTAAAAAATAGCCTAGCTATATTATACATCAAGGGTTACTATAATATGTCACATTCTGTATTTAATTTTTTTTTTAAATAAATTTAAAAAAATAGCCTTATAAACATATTTTTACCACTAATATTTAGATGTAAATCTATTAACACATTGGCTACTTCTAAAGGGAGATCACCATTACCTATAAATATAATTTAGTAATTGTCAATTTGTGTATTGAATACTTTCAATTCCAACATCTGAATTAATAACATGATAAGCACCTGAATTATTTTGATTTGAGATAAAAGTTTGAAAGGCTATGGCAAATCCAGAAGTTTGAGGGGCTAATGTAAAATTAATAATTTGTGGAGCTAATTATTATAAGTTAATGTTATAAATAATAACATCATAAATACCTTGACTTGAATTAATATTTTGATGGGCTATGGCATCAGAAGTGGAAGTTAGAGGGGAAGTAAAATTTATAATTTGTGGAGCTAATTATTATAAGTTAATGTTATAAATAATAACATCATAAATACCTTGACTTGAATTAATATTTTGATGGGCTATGGCATCAGAAGTGGAAGTTAGAGGGGAAGTAAAATTTATAATTTGTGGAGCTAATTATTATAAGTTAATGTTATAAATAATAACATTATAAATACCTTGACTTGAATTAATATTTTGATGGGCTATGGCATCAGAAGTGGAAGTTAGAGGGGAAGTAAGGAGCTAATTGTTATAAGTTAATGTTATAAATAATAACATCATAAATACCTTGACTTGAATTAATATTTTGATGGGTGATGGTATCATAGGTGGAAGTTAGAGGGGAAGTAAAATTTTTTGTGGAGCTAATTATTATAAGTTAATGTTATAAATAATAACATCATAAATACCTTGACTTGAATTAATATTTTGATGGGTTATGGCATCAGAAGTGGAAGTTAGAGGGGAAGTAAAATTTATAATTTGTGGAGCTAATTATTATAAGTTAATGTTATAAATAATAACATCATAAATACCTTGACTTGAATTAATATTTTGATGGGTTATGGCATCAGAAGTGGAAGTTAGAGGGGAAGTAAAATTTATAATTTGTGGAGCTAATTATTATAAGTTAATGTTATAAATAATAACATCATAAATACCTTGACTTGAATTAATATTTTGATGGGCTATGGCATCAGAAGTAGAAGTTAGAGGGGAAGTAAAATTTATAATTTGTGGAGCTAATTATTATAAGTTAATGTTATAAGTAATAACATCATAAATACCTTGACTTGAATTAATATTTTGATGGGTTATGGCATCAGAAGTGGAAGTTAGAGGGGAAGTAAAATTTATAATTTGTGGAGCTAATTATTATAAGTTAATGTTATAAATAATAACATCATAAATACCTTGACTTGAATTAATATTTTGATGGGCTATGGCATCAGAAGTAGAAGTTAGAGGGGAAGTAAAATTTATAATTTGTGGAGCTAATTATTATAAGTTAATGTTATAAGTAATAACATCATAAATACCTTGACTTGAATTAATATTTTGATGGGCTATGGCATCAGAAGTGGAAGTTAGAGGGGAATTAAATTTATAATTTGTGGAGCTAATTATTATAAGTTAATGTTATAAATAATAACATCATAAATACCTTGACTTGAATTAATATTTTGATGGGCTATGACATCAGAAGTGGAAGTTAAAGGGGCTAATGTTAAAACATCGATTCAATGATAAAATATTTATATAAAAATAATTACCATGATTAGCATTAGAAGTTTGTGCAGCTACTAAGTTTTGATAGTCTAAGGAATGTTGAATGGTGATAATTAAATCGAGGCCAATCATTAATTTGGCCCTACCACCACATCTTTTGCGACACGTAAGGTAAACGGCCTTTTTCCCACTTGTATGGGTCAAATATTCATGCCCTTGGTAGCATATATAATCCTTCTTCTTCTGTGTTTGCTGAAAACATAAATAATAAATATATAAAATGGTTCATTACTTTTATTTCAAGTTGTATATATTTAAGATAATTTTTAAGGTTATCTGCTACAGTTGGAATCATATCAAAATATGGCGGCCATTTTTGTGAATATTTGTGTGAGTATTAGTGTAAATATTCTCATTTTTGGCTATTATAGTGCGCACAAATTGAGCTTTTCAACGCTCCGTTTTAAAAGCAAATAATGCATTTTAAATGGTGTTGTGCAAATTGGATTTTTTTACGGCAAGCGTTAAAAAAAAGCAAACTAGTTTGATTTTTTTATGCGTTTTTATTTCGCGCCAATATATATTTTTAATTTTATTTAGTGATTTTATATAATTATTCATATTGTAATATATTAAAAATATTTAATAAACTTTTTTAAATTTTAAATGGAAACAAATGCGAAATTGTAAGTTAATTATTTTACATTTATATAATTATTATATGTTATTTAGAGTGTGGGACGACATAGTGACAAAAAAATTCTGTGCCTTATTAGAGAGTCAAGAAATGGTCTGGAATCAGCAGCATCCAGACCATAAAAATTCTACATTAGTGCTAAATGGTTTATCATCCATTAGCCAAAGGTATAAATATATATATAAGATTAAAGAAATTTTATTTTTAATAGCATGGAAGTTGAATTTCCTCAGCATGATACAACTGTGTCATGCATAAAGAAGAAAATGAAGAACTTCAAGGATTTTTATTAAAAATATTTATATTTTTGTAATATTATTGTAAATATATATATTTATATATAAAATAAAGTAGTATTCAATATTAATAGTGTCCATTTTTCAAAAAAATATATAAATGAGCTAACTATCATTTGGCATTTTTATTAAAATATATAGTTTTTTAATAAGATAGGATATCAAATTATGAAAGAATGTGATTGAATTAACATTTATGAAAATCTAATAAATAAAAATACCAGGGATATCATGGTTGGGAGAATTGTAAATTTAAGATTAGTAAGTATATATATTATAAATTTTGAAACAATAATTAGAGATCAAAATTTGATGCCTTTAGGAATATATGCCAATGTTTATCACAAGCCCTTTGCAAGTTTAGGCAATATTATCTAGAAATTAATGTAAAAAGAATAATAGTGTATGATTTTTTAAGATATTGACTATTTATATAGAAAATATTTACTATGTTTTATTGAGCTAATTTTTTGACATCACCTTATGTGATTATAATAGAAAAATTATTATTCAAAATTTATTAAACATTTTTATTAATATATGTAAATTATAAATAAAAATATATTAAGATAAAATAAATATATAAATAATAATATAAAATCATTTATGAATTTAAAAAAATTTTGAATGAATTTCTGATATTCCTTGCTTCATTAGATGATGCATTATTGTCCCTAATAACAGACATAGGTCTTACATTCAAGTTCGTGATATTTGTAAATATATTTTTTAAAATAACAAAATATAGATTTATCCAATTTATATTAAATATTTTTTAAATACCTATCTGATCAACATCATCAGGTAAGCCCTCCAAGGATATGATAATGTTGTGTAAAATACATATAGAATGTAGGAGAAAGTCGTTCTCCTCATCCTTGTATAATTGAAAAAATGGGATGGAGTAAGATCTGCTTTTATAGTAATATACTCTGAAAATAAATTTCTCTCCATAAATATTTTTGAGGTCTTCCTTCTTGTCTTCGTATATTTCCTTCTCTTTAGTAAATATAAAGCAATTAGTTGCTTATCTTGTAAACTAAAAAATTCCATATTGTTTAATAAAAATGTTTTCAATTTTAAAATAAAGAAAAAACGTACTGCTTTCAATTTAAACACAGATGAGTTACGTTAAAAAACGTACTGCAAACGCAAACGTTCAATTTGTGCGCACTATTATGATACTTGCTATTTAGGTCTCTTGCCATATGGTGGCGAAGCTTTTGATGTTATGTCGCATAATCTAATCTCAGCTGATTGAAAAAATGATAAAAATTATAATTTCTATTCGTCTATTTTGTATCATAAATATCCATCAGATTTGATAGGATTCTTTGAAATAAGCCGAGCTATTATCACCATATCTTCATAGTTCCTTTTTAATCATATCATTCTACTTTTCAAGAAATAATATCTTACAATGAATTTATCAAATGCATTTTATTATATTGTACCCAATGATATATGTTATTGATTGTACCATTTTTAGTTAAATAAATTGAATATTATCAGGTGACCATAATAAAGGTTACTATGCGCCAAACTATTTAAATTCAAATCTGGAGCAAAAATTGCAACCCAATCCATAGATTATAATATTTATGGCTATATATTTTATTGATATTTTGGTTTTTTTTGTATAATGTATATTTTTAAAAAATCAATAAATTTCACGACTTTCCCCATCTTAATTAAGAAAAAATAGCTAATCAATGGTAGCTTAAAAATAAAACCTAGAAAATATTTTTAATCATATATTATTATAAAAATTTATTTGCTGCAGAACAAGAACGGTTTTAAAATTAATATATTTCCCTCTCAACAATAATGGTTATAGGATATTTATTTAAAAAATGGTTATTGCTCTATATCTAGTAGAGTTAGTAGCGCCACTAAGGAGGGAGGAAGGGGAAGGGGCTCAAGTCCCCTAAAAAATTTTTGAAATTTTTTTGTAACTAAGAAAAAAAATTGATAAGATAACTAAAAAAAAGGGGGTAATTTTAGATAATGTTCGCTAAAAAAAAAAGGTAATTTTAGATAATGCTAGTAAAAAAATTAGTTTTGAATAATGATGGCTAATAAAAAGAAGAAGGTTATTTTGAAAATAATTTTAAAAAAAATTTTTTGAACCCCCTGAGATTGTAAAGGCTAGTGACGTCCTTGAGTGGAGCCAATAAGATATATCCAAAAAAAGTGGGGTGGGGGGGAGGGCAAAAATATAGAAGAATTGAATATTTTGTTTACACAAATATTTATTTTCTGAATATTGCTTTTTAGTTACAAAAATTACTAAATTAGTTTACCGAAAAGAATAAACTGAATAAAACAAAATAATTATAAAGTCAAGCTATATCACAAAATGAACCGAACTTTTGGAAACACTGTTACTGAAATTATGCACACCTTTAAGTATGAATAATTATAATATTTTATTGTCTTACTTTATTAGGTAGATTGTTGGAAAAGGTAAACAATTATTATGTTTTAGTGGCTAATACCTTCCATGTGAGCTTATATTCTGTGGGGGGGGGGGGGGGTGGAGTTGGTTCTCTGACTGCTATTATTGATTGTCCGATGATATATATATATTTTAGCTAGTTGATCTGACAATAAAACTTTCAATTTATTCATACTACTAAGGACACCAACAAAGACATTTAAAAAATCATCCCTCACCTTGCCTCATAAAAAAATTAAATATGCGTACAATCTTAGACAAAGACTTTCTTCTCTTTGTCGAATTCTTTAATCTCAGCTTATAGACGCTTAAAAATAGAGGGCAAAGCGCTCTAAATCACATATCACAAATGTTGGAAGCAGAGTTGTACATTTGCACTTTGCGCCAATTTCATTTCAATTTATAATTGAGCTTTATATTTTCCCTATAAAAGGGACTAATTTTTATGTTTATGACATTATATTTTTGTTTTATAAATTTTTATAATTAATTTTTTTTTGTACGTGATAAATAAATAAAGTTCTGTCTGTTCAATATTATTATGGCTCATACTCGATCCTACGGGCTAATTGGAGAGGTATCTCCAACTGTACTACCCACAACTCCCCGCAACTTCAATTATAAAAACTTCTTTTTTAAAAAAACTCTATTTTTAAAAAAAAACTGTTTAAAGAATTAATACCATAATATAAAATTTAAACATGTTATAAATTCCAATGGATAATTTTTTTTATTATACCCCAAAAAGCTAGAAAATATAAAAAACTGATTATATTCCCAAATTCACAAAATGTAGAAAACCTTTTCTATCAAAAAAATAAATATAAAAGTATTTGGCTAAAATCACTAAAATATTAAAAAAAATATAGACGATTTAAAAAAAATAATTTGTTCATAAAATTATTTAGCCAAAATCGTGTAATGTAAAAAAAAATATATTGTTGGTAAAAATTTATAATTTCTTAAAAACTATCAAAAAAATAAACATTTGACCAAAATCAACGAAAATTTAAAAAAATATAGAAGATTTAAAAAATAATAATTTTGTTCATGGAAATATTTGACCAAAATTACGAAATCTAAAAAAAAATGTAGAAATGTAAAAAAAATATTGTTGATAATGACTTCGTTTCTTAGCAAAGAATGTAATTAGATAATTAAACATCTCTAATTAATAAATAAATATTTATTTATATACATATTTAGAATTCTCATTAAATTTGCAATTTAATGAGTAAAGGTACCACTTGCACGGCCCGGCCCGGATTTTCATTTTTTTTTTATTTTCAGGCAGCTATAGATTTTTTTTAAAAAAAAATATCTACGCCTGGCCCGGATATTTTTAAAATATAATATATTTATTTTTATAAATTTATAGCGATTCATAATATACTGCCCGGGTATTCCGTGTACCCGAGCTCTAAATATGAAAAAACTTTGTTTTTTTTTGTAAAAAAAATATACTACGAATAAAAATATTAGCGCCTTGTTATTGCAAGAATATTAAAATATATCAATTTTTTTCACAAAATTTAATATTTTATTAAAAAATTTAAGCTCGACCTGGCTTGGCCCGAATTTTTTTAAAAAATATTAGGCCCCACTCATCCGAACCGAAATTATTTTTAAAAATCAGGCCATTTTCGTTATTTTGGGGAAACACGAATTTTTCTACCAAGTTAGCGTTGAAAGGTGTTTTTATTACACACTCAAATTTATATAATAAAATCGCATAAATGTACATGATATTCTAGAATAGAGGTATGGAAATGGCAAAATTATGAGGCTCGGCCAGTTTCAATCTTTTACTAGGGTTGCCTGGCCCATTTTTAGACGTTGCCCACCACATGGACCTGGTATTGCAGATCCTAATCTAAAATGTCTTAATTAATACTTAGATCCTAATAACTAATTTTAAGCATTATTGAATAAGA